TGACGAAACCGTGATGCCCAGCACAGCTGGAAGACAGAAGGCTGTGTGGAGTCGAACTGAATTTGGGGCACATAACTAATCCAGTCATTCGCTGAAGCTGCTCGAATTCAGAAGTGTGGAGTATGCGAGTGGACGGAATAAGTGCAGAGACAATCGGTGCAGAGGCAATTAGTCTTTGTGTTACAGAATCGACGAGGCTCAGCAGTTCAGAGCCGCAAAGACAGCAGCATCCTGACACATAAGCTGCACTAGCGACGAGGTCCGCGCAGACGAAACGGATTTGCCATTACCAACGAGGCCGTACCCAACGGGGTAGGCGATAATGAAACAGCAACAGGTGAACGAGACGAGCCAGAAGCGGAGGCTCACAACTGGGGATGGGGCAGTCTTGCACACAGGATGTACTACCGCCAACAGATGTGCCCAACTGTTTACAAAACTTAGCCCCCCCCCCCTAGTTGTCCTTGCAATAATAAAAGAACTTGCCAGCGTTTCTGCAGGCAAGCAGGACAGCACATGCTTGTCGCACATAAGCTTGTTACGACCTTAGACTTGCCTCAACCGCTGTAGTTATTTTTACTGAAGTGATACCATAGAGAATGAACTCTTCCGGATTCCAATCAGGTTCAAATCTAAGCTATGACGGTTATTTTGGGCTGGGATTCTGGGATTCTGTTCTCCTGGATGGTTAATATGGGAAGGCGGAAACAAGTTGCTAAGGGTCCTTACACTGCAGAAAAACACAACCCCAGCCCCACGGCCACTATACCCCCCTCGTGCTGCCCACCAATGCCCTCAGCGGGGCAACACGCGCATGAGACATAAACCTATCCAAAGAACGTCGAACGACTCTCAGACTCTCATGTGGCGGCGACATCTATAGAGGTAGCTACCTCCTGAACCCGGGAAGATCCCTGCAGGTTCAGCTGACTAGTTTCCCCCTACACCAAGCACTATCCCTTCTGAGGTCCGAGCTCCCAAGGCCACACTACTAGGCTAAAAGACTCGACCGAACCAACCCCGTCCCGGCCCGCCGGCTGTCCAGCCGCCCCTCAGCGGCCGTTTGCCACAAGCCTGCAGCTGGCAGAGCCTGGCGCGGAGGCGTCTGCGATTGACCGGCGAAAAAGGGAAAGGGAAACTTGTTAATCCATGATTGATTTCTTTTCAGAACTAGCCAGAGACACAATGGATTTCAAGCTAAATTGCGTTCCCCAATCCACTTCGAACTGTATGAATGCGAATGAATAATCTTATTAGGGACAATAATACGGCACGGGAGTTTCATGCCCTCAAAGCGGGAACAAACACTAAAACTGAATACATACATAGTTCTAAATCTTCTACTAAAATTTTCCTGCAGCGTTAGAGGCCTTTAATTCATATTGGCGAACGATGCTTCCCGAGCTACCGGGATACTGTAGGTTCAACATGTACACGTAACATGTACATTTACAGAAATGTACTAAAATGAATTCACGAAGTGTGCAGCAAATAAGATAAGTAGCCTATAGGCCCATGTCCATAGTCCAGGGCAACGGAGGGGGTTACCCTGGGGCCGTGTTACCCCTCCTGCTGGGTAGGAACTTACAAGGGGGTTACCAATGGGCTACAGGGGGTTGAAGGTGGGTAACCGATGGGTAACCCATGGGTTACCGACCCAATCAGTGCCTTAGGGCTGCTGCCACGCTGGGCGCCACTGCTGCCGCCACGCTGGGTGTCGCTGCTGCCGCCACGCTGGCCGCCACTGCTGCCGCCATGCTGGCCGATGCTGCTGCTGCTG